GAGTAATCATAAAATCGTGCCTAGTTATCTTATCGCAATTATTACTGAGCAATCGGTTGAGACTAAGCCGAGATAACATAATCCAGTGACCTTCATGGCAAACTTGTTTGAAATACTCGAACATCTGATTGTGAACAATTGCCTGAATTCGGCATCCCTACAATATAAGAAAAAATATAGAAATTATAGAAACAATAAAGAAATATACAGAATCAGAGATTTAATACTAAAGAGTTTAGTTTATAATAAAACTAACGTTCTCATCGGCCATAATGAAGCCAAGACCTGGTAATCCCTGTGGATCGTTCACCCTCCATTTTTCAAAACTTTAACAACAATCCTCCAGTCATCTCTCCATCCATTCATCTCATGAACCAAATCATAACTACCCATGTTTGTCAGATGTTTAAAGAGAATAAAATATCAGAAAGTAGTTATGTTCTGTTACATCGAGTCTTTATCAGATCATCAATATATACACGTTAAGTTATTTAAAATATTATTACGCATAATGATGACGATTCATTAGAAACCGTTACTTGAACCGAGTCATTTAAAACGATTTCCATTATCATTTACATATATATATATATATTAAATATAAATACAATATGATCACAACCACTAAAAAACAAATTATCTATAACTTTATAATTTTTTAAAAATATAACAAAACACAATCTATATATCTATATCTTCTTTCTATATGATTTAAAAATTTCTTTTAAATTTAAGACAAAACATATGTGTATATTAATGTTTTCATACCGAGAAATCATTGTTAAATTAAGGAATTCATGATTGTATTATTATTTCGATATCTGAATATAATTTGGTTATTAAGGTAGCTAAAAATGTATATATACTGGACCCATTAATCAATAATGATTTAATATTATTGATATAGGTATATCAGATATTATTAAGCAAATAAACATCTAAACGTTAAACGAATCTAAATCTCTACAAAAATATTACTGATTTCGATTTTCCTGAAAAACCATTAAGACTAAACACGATTGGGTCCATATCGTAGAATATCTTTACTATCACGATCACTAAAATTTTTTATGAGTTCTTGGAAAAGACAATTATAGTTAGAAGTATGTTGAAAATTTATGACGACAGTCAGTACGTTTTCCTGTGTCAAATAGTCGAAGTATATATATTTCCTAATATGTTTACTTTAGGCAAGTATCCTGATCTATAGTATGTTTACTTTAGGTAATTACTCTGACTATATCAAAAATAATGTAAATATTTCCCATAACAGAAGCCACATAAATCTTATAAAAGGACATAGCCTGGTATCGAACCTAACGATATGAGCTATATAAAACACACATAATTCATAAAATATAGTTTGATAATGCATCACAAAATTCATATATAAACAATAAGAAAATATTAAACAAAGGCACTGATCTTAGTTTTAAAAGTAGGCATAAAATTACTAAGTAATGAGTTCGAGAACACAAAGAAGAAACAGTGTAAATAGAGAGGCAGAATAGAGGAAGTCTACAAATACATCAAACAGTCAATGCTCTTGTCCGTAGTTGGTTCCGCCTACGAAAGTGATAAAAAATCATTACCAAAACGTTTTAATAAACATTGAAACAATAATATATATAGACCCCAAAATTCTAAATACTCACGTCGCTCTAAATGCATCAACTTCTGCATCGATAGGATTGTACAAAAAATCTGAGCATAGATCATTAGATCGGAGAACCACAGACTTCTTATCGACTCCTAAACAACAATAGACAAAAGTTTTATTCAACATTCAGATTTTAAGACATATATGAGGAAATATGTATATACCTTGGCCATTTGTCATCTTCCAGAACCTTAACACCCAGACAACCGATTCACATGTGTTTCTCAGATATACATCATGGAGATTTATTGCTAGAGAACCACGGGCGTAACATGCTAACCGACCTTCTCTTCTGCCACAAGAAAAGATAATACGAAAATTAAAATATTTGGTTATGACTTTATATGTTAACAGTCTTTTACATATAAATCAATGGACATGATTCATATTCATAATACCGTGCATCTACTATCTCAAATCGGAGATAAGCGAGATTCTCTTCATAAGCATCATTACTTGCATTGCAGAGTGGACCCATACTCACAATAGTTCCCATAGCGTCTGATAATAAACGAAATAATAAATTGAATTTAAATCTATTAAAAAACTTAACATATATGTTTAGAAATTATCATGCACACCGATAAACTTGATTAATTCTTATAAAAAGTAAAAGATGAAATTCTTACCAATCAGATAGTCAAAAGGAATGGCTTGATCCACAATATCATAAAATCGGAAGCAATGGACATACAAATTGTACGACCTCGTTCGAATAGGGGTGATAATAGTGACAGAAGTTAACTGCAAACGATGTTTATTGATCGTTGTAAGCATTGATCCAGTAGCTTCTTTAACATGAAAGTTGAAAATCTGAATCCACTGTCCCTGTTTGATTTCTTTTGCAACGAGTGAGAAACTCGTTTGGCATAATGGTTGCAGCGATCCGAGTACCCTAGAAAAATAACACAGCCAAAAATAATCATTGAATAATAAACAGAAAACATAAAAGAATAACTTCAAAAAAAGACACATACTTTGATATCAGACAAAACCATCTCGATAGTATTTCCAAAGAATGTTGAATGCTTCCAGAGCCTGACAACCTTGACAGATATTAACCATCCTGTTTTGTAATATCAAACATGCAACATCGACAACATCAGACATTTAGAAACTTTTTTTTTTCTTCTTTTCGATCGAGAACT